TTTCTAGACTTTCAGTTGCAGGTCTGAGTTAGGTTGAAGTTATACAGTATAATTCGAACAAGGTTACACCTCTGCTATTAGACCAACATGACGTCGTGGGTATTCGATATCTCCTTCAAAAAAGTTACTATTAGTAGCTGCCAACTTCTGACGTCGTGTTTACCGTACCGGTGATGAGCTTCTTACTAGGCGAAAACATCAGACTGGTCTAGCATTCACACGCGGAAGGCAGCGTGATATGCCGTAGGCCTGTCAGATTCGAGGAGTATCATTGCTGGCTACATCCTGCAGGAGGTTGAATAACCGGGGTAAATAAAAACCCAGTTGATGATTCACAGCTAGTCTCCCTACGATCTTCATCCCACTTCTGCGACTTCCACCAGCATGGAGAAGACCACAGCCTCTGCCGCTGCTTCAACTGAGCACTCTGACAGAGAGGCATCGCTGCATCCTACTACAGCGCTATATAACGATGGGGTCGATATCAGCGGTGTGGATGAACGCAAGTTAATGAGGAAAATTGACATTGCACTAATTCCATGGCTATCGTTGTTGTACTTGCTGAGTTTTCTTGACCGTACCAGTATCGGAAAGTGAGTGAATTCAATCGAATCTCTTGATTATTGAATGTTAAGGTTTCGGATTTTAGCGCTAGGGTTTAAATTCATTAATCCTCACTGATTGTAGCTAATGGTGCTTGTTTATCAGCTTTATAACCTCGAAAAAGACCTGCATATCACTGACAACCAATACCTTTTGTCGTTGACAGTACGTATTAGCTGTAATTACCCCATTCATTTGCTGAGCGTCAATGCATTCGAACTAGATATTTTTCTTCAGTTACGCGATATTCGAAGTTCCCTCCAATGTATTTCTGAAGAGACTTCGCCCCTCCATTTGGTTATCTCTCCTGATGTTTCTTTGGGGAATAATGATGGTAAGTCGCAATGCTACTAATGTTTCGTACTCTCGCTGAGTGATTATACTATAGACCGTTCAAGGCCTCGTTCATAACTTCGGTGGTTTGATGGGTAAATATACTGCCACTTTTTCTACCTTCTCTTTTGACATCGAAAATTATAGGCATGCGATGGATGTTGGGAATGTTTGAAGCAGGATTATTCCCTGGTGTAAACTACTATCTCTCATGGTGAGTCTGAGCCGATACCGCCAGTGTATTTACGACGGGCTGATGAGGGCGAGGACAGTTGGTATAAGCGATCAGAGTTTGGTATTCGCGCAGCCATTTTCTTCTCTGCAGCAACAGTATCGGGTGCATTTGGAGGTTTACTCGCGGTGCGTTTCATAAAAATGTTGTCTACTATGGATCATTGAACTCTGAAATTAATAGGCAGCCATTGCAAACATGGAAGGTGTAGGAGGAAAGCCTGCATGGGCTTGGATTTTCAGTGAGTCTCAATAATTCGTATATAAGATGATCGTTAGGTCTGATTCATGCTTTAGTCCTGGAAGGATTAGTTACCGTGCTCGCTGGACTCGCCTCTTTCTGGATTATTCAAGATTTCCCTGATACGGCAAAGTTCCTTACAGAGGCTGAAAGGACTGTCGTGGTTCGACGTCTGCAATCGGATGACCAATTTAGTGCTGCAGGAGAGAAGCTAAAGATGAAATACATCTGGAAAAGTTTGTTGGACTGGAAAACATGGATCGGAAGTTCGTCAGCTTTACATATCCCTACCAAACTGTCACTAACGACGATTTATCTTTCCTTTAGTGGTAGTCTACTGTGGATGTGATATGCCATTGTACGCCTTTTCTCTGTTCTTGCCTAGCATCATCAACCAGGTGAGCTCCATAGTCACGTTCACAAGCGATCATGGTCCTAATTCAATTCTTTTTTAGCTAGGTATGTCGAAACTCTGTCATTTTATCTTTAAGTAATTGACATTACTCATTTCTGCCTTAGGTTTTACTGCAACTCCAGCGAACCTGTTAACTGTGCCCGTTTACGTATTCGCCTGTTTGGTTACCTGCGTTGTTGGTTTCTTAGCCGACCGTTGGGGTCGTCGTGGCTATTTTAATCTGTAAGCTTCTCGTTCAATATGTATACGGGTGTGTGCTGAAATAAATGTTCTTCAGCGTGTTTTTATGTATTGGCAAGTACATTTATTTGATGAGCGCATCTTATGAATTAGTATTCATGATAACTTTAGGTGCGGCGGGATATATCATCCTTGTGGCATCGAGAAATGCTGCACTTTCGTACTTTGCGGTCTATCTAGCCACTTGGTGCGAGACAACATTAGCTAAACCGATTCGATTCATAGCTAATATTAACTGATTGGGCAGCGGTATCTATCCAGTCATTCGTGAGTTCATCTCTTACATGAATGACAACATCATACTAATTCATATACTACGTTAGCCAATACAATGTAAGCAGCGCTATCTCTTAGAAGATAGTTATCCTGAGCCTTTATTCGTCATCAGTGCATGGGTTTCGAATAACGTTGAGGGCTCGTACAAGCGCAGTGTAACTCTAGCGATGGTGATCAGCTTGTAAGTGTAGCTTGTTGTTCTAACCATGTATTTTTTAAAACTAACTGCTTTAATAGTGGGAATATTAATGGAGCTGTAAGCTCCAATGTAGTGCGTTCTACTTCAACTAATTTCTTTAGATGGCCGTTGATACTAACGGCTTGCGTCATTCAAGTATCGAGCAGAAGATAAGCCATGGTATCCATTAGGTATGTTTTTATGCATCGAAATTACGTCACTTATTAACTTGCATCTTAGGGCATGGTAAGAATGCGCAGTTATTTACCTTTCTTTGGTCATTACTAAATTTCAATAGGTCTGGTTCTTATGTATATCGCATTTGGATTCATAGCATCCTCTGTTTACCTTATATTCTTGAAACGGGAGAACGCAAGAAGGGATAGAGGTGAAAGAGATGAGATTATTGGTGGAAAATCGGGCAGCAGCCCTGACAGCCAAAACGAGAAGAACGGAAGGTTCGCAACTGTTGAAGACGCCAAGAGGGAAAAAGGAGATGAATGGAGTGGCTATAGATACACTCTGTGATGACATTAATACGGTAATACAGAAATGAATGACTTCCAGCACTTATTATAGCAGCTTGCAAACAGAATGATTATGTTGTACACAACTTTTTTTTTGTTGTGGTTGCGCTCAACTCTTGCCGGCGATTATGCTAAAAATAGGCGCTAAGTGTTTGCCGTTGTTGTACTATAACTTAGAAGCTGTTCACGATCAACGTCCCAGAGTTGTTTGAAAGATTCTTCATTTCATTAGTTACCGGTCTCGTTGCTATGCACATCCCTAGGGTTCGATAAGGAGTTTATCTGTTTCACACGCGCCGAGCTGTCCTATGCGGGCCTTGATTCACAGGAATGAAGGCTTAGTTATGCAAGCCTTGTTCCGACGGGCCATCAGGACATCAGGACAAAGATTTTCCGTCATGCAGGGACCGGCTGATACAACAAACTCAATATGAGGTGATAACGCATATCGATATCATCTTAAACTACATTGGTAAGTGCTTCAAATGTTGGATCGAATTCGCTCACTCATTCTAGTCTCTGAAGGTATTTCTAGTGACATTTAATTTGGCCTTTACATAATATTGGCCGCACTATGTACTCAACATTAATAATTGACGCAGGCCACTGAATATGTAAGAAAGGCAAAAAGCTCCATAATGGCTCATGGGACCTGAAAATTGACAGATGTTCTCCTCTTTCTAACAGAATATGCGTTCTGCCCTGCAACCGGAAGAGGACCAGGGGTGTATTGTTACATTCGATATCAAAAAACTGTGGTTCAAAACCGCGCAGCTGGGACCCTGCAAGATATAATTTCGGTATAAATCGATATTGAAATGAACACTCTTCAAAAAAAAAAATCTTTCCTCTCTGTTCTCTATCTGTTCTGTCGTCTTTCCCCAGACATCTTCGCTCTTTATTCACAACCTTACATTCTTTACTGGAGACTTGATGTTTTCCTCATTACTTGCTGCTTTTACTCTTGCCGCTGCTGCAGTCGCCTCTCCGATAGAGTCTCGCGCTTCATGTGACACAGCTTCCGCGAAACTAGTGCTTCCCGCCGGCCAGACTGCACTCACTGGTCAACTTAACCCAGCTTCATTCGTTCTCCTCGGCGTCGGTGTGCAAAATTACACATGTTCGAGTGCAGGCACATACGCGTACGTCTTTGCTACTACTTCAAAAACGCGTCCCCTCTCTAACGTGTCTATATAGGAGCGCTGGTGCTGTTGCCGAGCTATTCGATATTTCTTGTCTATCAAAAACAAAGCCAGCATTTGACTCCGTCCAGGATATTGCGTATGGCCTTTGGAAGGCAGCTCCCGCAAGCCTGACTACTACTCGCGTCTCGACTTTGCTTTCAAGCATGAAGCTCGCTACAGCTGGCCAACATTACTTTGTCACCTCGCCGTCTGGGACCGGCATAAGTCCTGTATGGGATGCTCGGGCCACGTCTCCTCTTAAAGGAAATCCAGACGCGTTTGTGTTGGCTGCGAAAGTCGCTAATATCGTTGCTCCCACTGGTGCTAAGGACATCGATTGGCTTCAACTGAAGTCCGTGCAAGGTGGACTTGCTACTCAGGTTCGTATTCCTATCTCTTGCACTAATTTTGCAACTCTGATTAAACGTATATAATAATCAAGATTTACCGAACGGATACGCGCGGCGGTCCTGCTCCTGCTACATGCACACCAGGTTCACCTCCCATCTCCGTTAAATACACTTCCAAATACTGTAAGTCAAAATATTTCTGTACCTAATGTGCTTTTGCTCATGTGCTTCCGTCTACAGGGCTTTTCGGAAGCAGTGTGAAGGTGTAGAGTAAAAGTACCAAATTTTCGCAATCGCATGTACTTGCGCTTAATATTAACTGATAACGATTTTCTTCTTTACAAACATGTTGTACTTTAAACGCTGAGATACTCATACAACGTTCTACGTTAAACATGGTATCGAGAAGTACTGCAAAATAATGCATTGACCGGGAGTCGAACCCGGAGCTAGGCCACATAAGAATTGTCCTGTTAGAGGAAATATTAACTTCTCATGGGAAGACCCAATGTTACCGCTACACCATCAATGCTTGTAAAAACGGAGCTGGCCCACAAAACATTACAAAGGAAGACATAATGTGATCTCTGTAAGCATGGCATACTTACGACGAGCCATCTGTTTATATACTGTCCGACATCAAGAAACATATCGTTTCTTAATGGCTTCTTTTACCTAACGGTTAACTGGACCAGTTGCGTTCGGACAGGCAGCAGGCTTTCAGTCTCCTCTTTTATATCAATTCTGTGATTCTTCCAGTTGCTTCGATGTCTAGAATGTATATACATGGTTTAAGGGTAAATAATGCATAGTAGCTGTGGATACCGTAGATTAAATAAATTGGAATTCAACAGAACTGATTGGAATTCTCACAACTCTTCCTGAATGTTGACACACTCATTTGGGTCAACACCAATCCATCAGGAAAATAGCTCAGACCTCCGTAATAGTATTTGTCTATGAAGAGTGTGTTGATGTTTAGGTTGTATTAAAAATTATCTCGATAATTATATGTGTAGTATTTTTAGATCTTACACCCTCGACGTTCCGAAGGGCTCAGCAACAATGAAATGGACAACCTACGAACATTAAGGAACTGACAACTTCCGAAAGTTCCGATTAATTGGACTGCCCGTGCATTTTACTTGGTAAATATGAAGACAACATGGCATTTATGCATCCAATTCTGTGAGAACGATCCTGAACATGGAAATGAATACATCATTATAACTTCACGGTTTGGAATTTATTGGTGCATACTGAGACGAGGTCACAACTGACTCTACCACTATTAAAACAGCAAAAATTTTGACTGCCTATTAAGAATGACTTATCGTGTTCAACAGCAGCGCCACTGCGGGAGTAAAACCAAAGATACACTGGTATCGCGGACAAAGAGAGCTTGCATCAGGAAGGATTGAATATTTCATCGTATTCTTCACTCGCCTCCGCTTGAAGCGGTACACCGGGTCGACAACTTCGGAGAGAATAACGACGTTCCAGCTCAATCGGAGTTGGTTATAAGCAATAGAAAATTAAGAGGTATCACTCGCGGATAGTTAAGTGGCACATAGGATTAATAACACCTTGAAGATAAGCAGGAAAGTACCAGAGTAAATATCGATAGATATCTTGTTATCAGCGGGTAGTTGATGCTACACAAGACATATAAACTGTGTTCTGCTGATCTTGGCGCCCAGGTCGTAGTTGATACCCGAAAAGCCCAGCCTCTTTGCTCAAAATAGCATTATCTTTAGTTCTCAGCATCGCACCTCTAGGCATAACTGTAAATAGGCATTCTAATTTATGATACTATTGTGTGAACGAGCGGAACATGGCACTGGCATGAATGTAACAAAATTAGGACACAATTGATACAGAACAATAAAGAGAAGACATAACAGGACATAGATGGACCGTAACAGATACGTACAGATGGTATTTGTACGGATTTGGGTGTGGGTATGCGAATGGGCGTTGGGATGTGGATATGAGATGAGCGTTGAAACTGTGTAAGCTTAGAATGCGATCTGGGCACCTTCAAGAGTGTATTACTCCATAAAGGGAATTTCCAAAACTCAGGACCAGGGTCAATTTGGTTAGTGGATGCAATCTGTACGATAACGTAGCATAGCGTCCCGTGAGGTAATAAAGTGCGTATACTTTTTACGAGTTTTACGTTGTAGAAGAACAGGCAACACCAGTTTATAGGTAATGAGAAACAAAATCACAGGGAATTCGATAGCCGAAGGTGGCAGGATAGGTCAATATGGACTGACCCACAAATGGCTCCAAATACGTTCCCGCCGGTGGACACAAGTCTTCTGAAAGAGAGAGCAAATCATGATTCATGATAGTATCTACGCACGTCAAACATTTCCCCGATATTCACGATCTTGAATCTGAGAAGCATGGGGCCGCAGAGCCCCAAAGTCAGAAGACGACGGCCGTATGACCGAAGATTGGTCCGAGCGGAGGATAAGTCGAGGCTCCAAACGTAAAATAATGGATAATTAGCTGAATAATAAGCAGATTAATGACAGCCTTGAGGTACAGGTTAACTGCATAGCTTGTCTGCCTATCCAGGCTATTAGGCGGAAAGAAGGTTGAATGTCTGGGCGCCTTGCCCAAGTTGGAAAGCGGGGGGAAGACGAGTTGATGGCGGGTTGATGGGTAGTTGACGCGAGATTTGCGATGAGCGGAGTAGAGAGTGGCTGGAAGGAAGAGGAGATGCGCACAATCTGGAGAGAGATATGATGTAGAAAGTAGGTGTAGTGGGTGGACTAAGGTAGACCTAGAGGTGAACGGGGTACTGAAGAATGGCAAGGGTCTTCGGCAGTTAGATTCTTTTGGAGTGATGATCGGTTCACGCATGTCCCGAATCGTACCATATTTATTTTTGACATGTTTCCAATTTATTTGCCTCGACCCATAACAAATTCTATATAATCTCCCCAGGGTCCCTCATTTCAAAACCACTAGCACCTCCCCGTTCTTCTCCACCAACCCTCCTCACGCCGTTGCTAATACCTGTCTTGCCTCACCATGACTATCCCCATTGCCAGCCCTGTCATCGACTTCGAGGCTCCTCCTCGCCCGAAAGACGTTGGCGTCCTCGCCATTGAGGTCTACTTCCCCCGCAGGGTACGTGTTTTAGACCAACTCTAACCATTCGGGACGTGTTCTAACAGCAGGATTTCTTGTAGTGCATTTCTGAAGCCGATCTCGAAGTGTTCGATGGTGTTTCCTCTGGCAAGTACACCATTGGTCTGGGACAGGAGTACATGGCTTGGCCAGATGACCGCGAGGATATCAACTCCTTCGCCCTGAATGGTGTGTTGCATTCAAGCATTCATACTGCCTCCATTTTCTAACCGAACCAAACTTAAAGCGGTCGCCGGTCTCCTTGAGAAGAACAACGTCGATCCCAAGTCTATTGGTCGCATCGATGTTGGTACCGAGACGATCATTGACAAGTCGAAGTCAGTGAAGACCACTCTCATGGACCTCTTCGCTGAGTCTGGCAACACCGACATTGAGGGTATCGACTCCAAGAACGCTTGCTACGGTTCAACCGCCGCTCTCTTCAACGCCGTCAACTGGATCGAATCCAGTTCATGGGATGGTAGGAATGCTATTGTCGTCGCCGGAGACATTGCCATCTATGCTGAGGGCGCAGCGCGTCCTGCTGGCGGTGCTGGCGCGTGCGCCATTCTCATCGGGCCTAACGCCCCTGTTGTGTTTGAACGTGAGTTTTAGTCTTCTTTGCGCGTTCCGATCTTCTTTTTATACACCCGCTGACTGTTTATTCCGCACATTAGCCATTCACGGCAACTACATGGCCAACACGTACGATTTCTATAAGCCCCAGCTGTCTTCGGAATACCCCGAGGTTGACGGCCCGGTGTCTGTAGTAACCTACATTGCCGCCCTCGACGCTGCCTACACTGCTTTCCGGGAAAAGACTGCTAACTATATCAAGAGGAACCACCCCGACAAGGCTAACGACACCCTCTTCTCGCTCGAGGATGTTGATTATGCCCTCTTCCACAGCCCCTACGGCAAGCAGGCTGTCAAGGGACATGCTCGCATGCTTTTCAACGACTTCATCACCAACCCTAAGGCTGCCCGCTTTACTGGCGTCCCCAACCCCGACGCATTCCTCTCCGCCTCCCATGCCGCCTCCCTTACTGACAAGAACGTGGAGAAGACTTTCATCACCGCCTCCAAGCCCTCTTTCAAGGAGAAGACCGACCCGGGCATGGCCTGCTCGCGCCGCCTTGGTAACACCTACACTGCTTCCCTCTACGGATGCCTAGCCTCGCTCTTAGCTACCGTTGAGCCCACTGAGCTCAAGGGCAAGCGCGTCAGCATGTTCGCCTTTGGCAGTGGTTGCGCTGCTAGTTTCTTCACTATCCGCGTAAAGGGTGATACCACTGAGATTCGGGGCCGCATGGATCTCATCAACCGCCTTGCGAAGATGAAGGTCGTTCCTCCCCAGGATTTCGTGGATGCTCTCGCTGTACGTTTTTGTTTATTCATCTACATCGATTTCCAAACTCACGTCTTCCCTTTCAGCTCCGCGAGAAGAACCACAACGCGGCCGATTACACCCCCGAAGGCTCCGTTGACAACATCTGGCCAGGTGCCTACTATCTCGAGAACGTCGACTCAAAGTACAGGCGGAAATACGTCAGGGCTCCCCTGGCTTAAATTTCACCTTACTCTCGTTTAGCTTTCGGATAATTTTCTTCACTGTTCTTCCTTTTTAGCTTTGGATTCGTAGATGCATAGAACACCCAAAATTTCATACCACGCATTACATACATGTATTACCCCTTTAGTACTGGGTTGTATAATTTATTCGACCTGCCTTATCTGCTGTTGTGAATTAGAAGAAACCTTTCTCGCTTAAATTGACGAAGGTGGAACGCGACGCGACTGCAGATCACCGTTTACGCGACGCATAGCCGCGTGTTCTTGGCATTGACCCTCCACCATCTCTTCCTTACCCGTCATGAACATTCCACCTCTAGAAAAACGCAATGCCAGAATAACCACCGGCGCCGCACCATATGGGAAGCACTACAGATTTGAAGTCGCTGCATCGCATCCCTTCACTCAGCAGGTCCGGCTCGCGCGTTTTATTCCGGTTCTGACAACTCGGACTCAAACCACCTCCGTAGCTTGACATCGTCTTTCCGTCAAACAGCGCTCTCGAAGAAGCTCTCGTGAAATTTGAGACGAGCTATGCAAAAGGAAAATCTAAGCTCTCGGGTCTGGTTGGTCAAGCCGGGACGTTTGTGAATTCCATCAAGCGGAAAAGGTGCGCGCCTTTTATCTCATTTTATCTGTCTTGAAGGAAGGGAACTTACTCGGATCTTTTATCAAAGCGAGCTCTTACTAGCAAGCACCGGAGCATACGAAGACGATGCCTGGTGCATCGATTCACGCGGTCTTCTGACGTTATCGGTATCAAAAGAGATGTATGAACGGCTCGGACTTGTTGGGAAGAAACTACCGTTCAAGAAT